CAAAAACAATGAATGTGCTAAGTCGTCTGTGCAGACTGGCTACATCCAAATCAAAAGGAAGCTGAGCCCTCTAAATTCTCAACGCAAAATAACCCGTAACAATGCTAGCCTAACTGGAATAGAAACCGATTTAAAATCTTGGAAGACGCCTCTGACGTTGAGGCGGCGAAACTACTGAAATCGAGAAAAGGAATCCAAAGTCTTCGCCGATTTATATTCGAGAAAAAAGTTCCAATGTTCTTGTCAACAAAATTATCGAGCTTATTGGAAAGGATAACAGTCTTCAACATCCTTAACAGGGATAAAAAGAGGTTGAGCCCGAACCAGAAAATTAGCCCTAAAGAAATACGAAGTGTGATTATTCCGCACAAACGCCCGGTACAATGTGCGAACTGACAAGAATATGGCCATACAAGGTCATACTGTAAACTGCGCCCGGTGTGTGTAGTTTGTGGAAATCTTCATGACTCCACACACTGCCCAGCGAGCAAAGATGACTGCAAGTCGAAAAAGTGCGGCAACTGCGGTGGCAATCACAGGCTGCCCTGTTTATAAGGAGCTGAAAAGTCGCATCCACCAGAGAGGAACTGCCGCCCGCACCCAAAATAAACAGATGACAGCTTCCAGATCAAACCCTGAAGTCTTCTTCTCGACTGACAAAAATGTGGACTGGCTAACCCTGCCTCAAAAAGTTTATTTCTGCAATCAGCATACTAAGAACCGAACACGGCTTAGGAGCAACAATTCCCGGAGCAGTCAAAAAGCAACTTTGAAGATATGATATACAGCCTGCAAGAAAGCCTTACGGAGTTTATGTCGTTTATGCGCACAACTATGCAAGATTTAATGCGAAACCAAAATCTATTGATTCAAATGCTGGTTTCACAACAATCCAAATAATGACTTCCCTAAGGATATCTACGTGGAACGCTATCGGCGTTTCACAGCATAAGCGTGAGTTAGCTCAATTCCTACTCGGCAATCATATTGACGTAATGCTGCTTTCAGAAACACACCTTACAAACAAATACAATTTTCAACTACGAGGTTATTCATTCTACGGAACAAATCATCCTGATGGTAAAGCACATGGTGGGAGTGGAATTCTAATCAGAAGCCGTATTAAGCACCGCTATCATAACAAATTTGCTAAAAATTACCTACAGGTCACATCTATAGATATACAAATAAATACACTAGCCGCCGTATTCTGCCCCCCTCGCTTCACTATAACTGAAAATGAGTTTATGCAGTTTTTCAACTCACTAGGAGATCACTTCATAGCAGCAGGGGACTACGATGCCAAGCACACACACTGGGGATCACGTCTCGTGACTCCAAAAGGAAAACAGCTCTATAATGCAGTTATAAAAGCCAAGAACAAGCTGGACTATGTTTCTCCTGGCCGACCAACATACTGGCCGGCAGACCCAAAGAAACTACCCGATTTAAAAGACTTTGCAATTACCAAAACTATTCCTAAAAATCTGATAAGCGCCGAATGCCTCTCGGATCTTTCATTTGATCACTCGCCTGTCCTGTTTATTCTACTCCGACATCCAGACTCATTGGAGCAATCGTTTAAATTGACATCAGAGAAAACCACTTGGGTTAAGTACAAGAAATACATTAGCTCACACATTGAGCTAAGTCCTCATCTCAACGATGAAGCCAACGTAGACAGATTTATTAACACCCTAGAGTCTGTACTCGTCTCTGCAGCTCGAGTTTCAACACCCCAAACTACAAGTACTCAAAGCAACCAAATAAAGACAAAGCTACAAATAGAACAGCTCGTCCTCGAAAATCGACGCTTACGTCGAGAGTGGCAACTCCACAGATCGCCATTTGCCAGGCAACACTTAAAATATGCCTCACGTCAACTCACAAAAGCTTTACAGCAAGAAGAAGCACATGTCCACCGACGCTACATAGAGCTATTGTCAACATCTAGTACAAAACACTCACTATGGAGAGCTCACCCAACTCTAAGCTCACCGAAAGTAACCGTGATGCCTATTAGAAATCTCACAGGCGGCTGGGCGCGCAGCGATGCAGACAGAGCCAGCACGTTTGCCAACCACCTTAAAAATGTCTTCCAACCAAATCCTGCAAATAGTGCATTCACTTTGCCGACTTTACCATATGAGCCTCAGCTTCAACATGAGCCAATTGAGTTTCGCTCAAACGAAATCGTTAACATCATCAAAAACTCCCAAAATGATCATTGAGCTCCCATATTGCGCCGTTTGCACTATCACCCAGTTTGGCTAGAAGGTACAAGATCAAGACAATTCTCCCCTACAACACCCATAAACTTTTAGAGTCTTACCTCTACGACAGAAAATTTGCTGTGAGATGCAACACTGCTATAACAGATGATTGACTATTGGAGCTGGAGTTCATCAAGGAAGCGTGCTTGGGCCAACATTATATGTCTTCATCAAGCACACGACTATGATACAGCCATTCTCAGCCGCTCAAAATGTCCGATGAAAATAACTGCGCAGCTAGCTCTTCATCTGGTCAATGCTGAAAAGTGGCTATCAGATTGGCGAATTAAAGTAAACGAACAAAAATGCAAGCACGTTACGTTCACCCTGAACATGCAAAACGGCCCGCCGCTCATGTTAAACCATACTCTACTCCCGCAAGCAAACGAAGATATGTCAATCTAGGAGTACACCTCGACAGAAGGCTCATCGCGACTCAAACATCCTACCAGTCAAAGAAGTGATCGCTATCGTTGCACCCTAACCACCTGGCGAGGGGTCTTACAAGGTTGATCAACCAATCACGCCTTCGTCGCAATGACTTACCCTCCCATCGACCGACATGAGGGACGCGCAACAAGAATTCAGTCTTATTATACTGTTAGTTAATTTTTAATGTTAAAATTCGTAAACTTATTGTTAGTCTCAAAATTAAGAGAAGATTCAATAAATAAAAGCAATGTTAAAATAAAAAAAATAAAAAAAAATTTCAGCAGCCGCCTTGTAGTCAATAAATGGAACATATCTGATTTTTTCTTAAGAAATTGGACTTCACAATACCTCAAACGATTTCTAATAGATCAAATGATCACCCTAAGTTGGTGCTGTTTTACGAATTTCTCACCCTAAAACCCTCTCGTTCCCTTTAATGTCCCAGGCGGTAATGCCACGTGAAAATTCACGTAATTTTTTTAAAATCTTGTTCACATGATGCTCTTCACTGTTCAAAAAATACAGACTTCCATGCCTCTGAAAGAAGCCATGCACAATTGATCCTTGTTTTTCTTAAAGTCAACCTCGTATCCGTAATCTTTTAGATCTTCAAAGCATTCAATCAACTTTAGAGAGGTAATGGAAAAACACCCACGATGTTGAACACATAGTCAGAATATGCCAAAAGGGAACTGTAGAACATTATGACATATCTAGTAAATATATGTAGCTAAGAATTAGAAATGATCATAAAAACCAAAAAATAAATTGAAAATATTATATTATGTTATGCAAGGAAATTTGAGCAAAGTTATATTAGAAATTCTTTAACTGTATTGGAATTTGTAGGCTAAGACTAACTAATATAAGAGCAATAGACAATAGTATTTAAGAAGGTTAACCAAAATTTTAACTTACAGAAAAAATGTATTTAAAAATCATATATATATACAGATAAATAAAACAGATTACTTTATGGTTGATGTGTTAATTCGTAGTTTTGTAAACTTATAATTGAAATAGTTGATTGGCCCTTTGAGAAAGAAAGAGAAAGAAGTGTATTAGAGAGAGAAGAGAATGAATGAATTTAAGAACTATCAAGTGACTACAAGAACAAGATTGCGATTTAAAGTTTGCCAGTGTCCGAATTAAGACACTATTAGCTAAGATGAAAATAAAGATACTTTGATTTTACGCATGTCGTCTTGCGAGCCAAAAAGAGACTAAATAATCGAACGGAAAGGTAAACATTTGTCTGGCCGTTGTGACAGGAAGGACGCGTACACGACAGGCTGGTGCTTCATTAAGGGGGTATATACCTTTTTTTGTCGAAAAAAATAGGAAAGTTTGGATTTTTTATGTATGTAACTATTGTTTTTATTAAATGAATGATTATATTTTCTGAAAGTTGAGATTGTTGACAATGTTTATGCAAAAATTTTTGAATAAATATTGAATAGTTTTTAAGGTGTGGCTGTTTCCCTTAAACGCCTTTTTTTAAGAGCCTTGCGGTGATAATTCCCCAGGACAAATGGGTAAACTGATACCGAAAAAATAAAAATATTTCATTAGTTTAAAGTAGTATCCTGTACTTGAACGATCGTTTTAAAAATTTTTTTTTTCGGCTTACGGGAACGTTTAATGCAAAAAATGACGTTTTTGGACGCAAAAATTCTTACAGAACTATCTATTTCGGCGAAATAAAAATTTTTACATGAAAAAACGATCGTTCGAGTACTAATAAAATTCATTACGAACATTTAAAGAAAAATTCGAAGAAAATTGGCAAAGTCATTTTTAAAAAAAACCATTTCAAGATATTCGCGTTTAAAGTTTCAAGTTTGGGTTTGGGCGGGGACGAGGCGCGTGGCTAGGAGCGCTGTAACTTTTTTTCTACTGCTCAAATCTCTATGAAAATTTTGGGAAAGAAGTTGTTCTTTAAGATAAAGAAAAAAAAAAATTTGGATTTTTTGAAAATGAAAAAGGTATATACCCCCTTAAGTGTTTACTTTAAGAATAGCAGTTGGCCCCATAAGTCAAAGCACGAAATGACCATGACCCGAAAACCGTATACCTCGCTGCGTAGATAAAGCAGAGCAACATGAAGCACATAGAGAAGTAGTAATCACAATGAGCGGAGTTGGATATCCAGTCTTATAATACATAAAATATAGACGAGCAACAGGTGCAGCAGCGAAAGAAAAATGAGAATTGCTTCCAAACACGTTGACAGGCATAGCATTCCACCCGACTTCGTCTTCTACTAAACACCCGCTATATAAGATAAAAAGTTAATAATTGGTCAGAATTTTATTTTATTTTCTTAACAATTTGATAAGGGCTAAATACTAATTGCAGACATTTAACCTGCTGATTGACATAACGGTAACGTTTTCAAAATTTTTTAAGCCGATTTTTTATATATTTTACGCTATTGTTTCCCTTAAAAACATTTTGTAACACTAATCAGAAGGGCTTAATAACATTTTAGTGTGAGCAAAAAATGTTACTGCAACCAACATAATTATACGCATAGTGTTTATTTGTTACTTTGAAGTCTCAGTTTTACTTCGAATACATTTTATATTTTTGTGCATTTTTATCATTATTAAAATTATTTTAATTATATTAATGCAACTATGTAGCCGACGACACCAACTAAATCTTATATAGTTTTTTATATGCACAATTTTACTATTTATAAGAAGTAACATTTATTCTTAATTAATTATTTACATATATGTTTGTTCTAGTAATGACAATAAAAAACCCAAAACGGATTACAAATATTAAATACTTAGCGAATTAAAATTTTACTATTTATAACAAGTAACATTTATTCTTAATTAATTATTTACATATAAGTTGGTTCTAGTAATGACCATAAAAAAACAAAAATGGATTACAAATATTAAGTACTTAGCGAATTTCAATTTTACTATTTATAACAAGTAACATTTATTCTTAATTAATTATTTACATATAAGTTGGTTCTAGTAATGACAATAAAAAAACCAAAATGGATTATAAATATTTTATACTTAGCGAATTCCAAACAAGTTTTTTTTATGAGTTTTTAATTACTGTTATGGAATTCGTAACCTGAGACAAGGACTTGATGGCTGTCCAAACAAAAAAAAATTACATAAGGTTTTCCAAAAGTAAACTTAGAGACAAAAATATCCTCTAGATATTGATGACTTTTTTAAATCGACGTATAAGGAAAACTTATCTATTTTTGTGGAATCCAATTCAAAAAAAAAATACATAAAATACAAAAAATAATACATACATCACATAATATATAAGATAATTTTTAATAACTATTAGAGCACAAAAAGTAAGGTTGGTAACGTTGAAAAATAAATTAAATAAATTTCCCGTAGCACTCGTTCAAATCAGAATTCTTTTTGCTGAAATGTTGATGTTTTGTTCTCCGTCTTATAATCTCATTATTTTAATAGTTGATGGGCCCTTTGATTAGCAACAGCTATTCGCGCTTCATTGGATTCACCCTGGAAAGAAATGCAAATGCAATAATAAAATAAAAAATTGAATTATTCATTGGGTATACAATTTGAAAACCATAAAATGTACATATTTTTAGGAAATCAATTATTGTTTATCACAAACATAACAAGAAAGGAAGCTAGTTTTGGTAAGCCGAAATTTTTATACTCTTGCAGTTATTACAAAACGACTACATTTCGATTTCTGTGCCTATATTACTAAAAAAAGTGAAGCTATATCGATTTTATGCTGCATTTCGCCATCGTTTTTATGTCAGCTAAAACCGTAATTTTGATATAGGAAATAATTATAATAGAATAGAATAATTATAATAGAAGAATATTTTAAAATAGAAATCAGCAAAAGACATTTTTTTTTTATTTTCATTTTTATTTATTTTAATTTTTTGATTTTCCTATGGGAGCCATATGATATAGATGTCCGATATTAATTTAATTAAAACCTTACTTCCATAGTATTTTAATATTAACAAATCCCAAAGAACACGAATAAAAATTAAGTACAACAAAGTTTTTTTTGTTTTTTTTCCGACTGTTGGAGTTTCTGCGGTACACTTGCGGTACTTATAACTGCTCGATTATAAATTTCAATATCGTTTTCTTGGTACAGTGGTTCCAGTAAGTAAAATGAATAACCATAATTTAGTCTGCTTCTGCAAAAAATGCAGCCTCGTAATAAGGGCTAACCAATCTAACACCAAGTGCGTCGGAATTACTGGCCGGACAAGTGATGACCTTTCAAAGGCGCCCTATTTGCAGTTCTGTTGTGACGCTTGTGTCGAGGTTGCGAACGAGATGAAATCGTTCATGCTCCAAACTAAAGGCGGCTTGATAGGACTGATTAGCTGTTTCGGCGTTGCTAGAGATAGTTTTCTCCGAGCTAATAATTTCTTCTCTGCGCTAAATTCGCAGTTTTATAGCCGTACGCTTTTAGAAGAGTCCCCTAAGCGCAAAAATCCGCTTATGGTAAGAAGCAAAAGGGGAACACACCGCAACCTCAATCAAAAGAACAAAGAGCAAAACCCTCAAATGTTGCTACGATCGCTAGCTAACAAGAAAGGGAGCAAGCTTCGGCAAGCCGAAGTTTATATACCCGTGCAGTTATTACAAATCGACTACATTTCGATTTCTATGTCTATTTTACTAAAAACAATGAAGCTATGTCGATTTTGCGCTGCTTTTTGCCATCGTTTCTATGGCAGCTATATGATATTGTTGTCCGATTTTATTACACCCTTGCAGAGGGTATTATAATTCCGACCCTATATAAGCATGTCTGTCTGACTGTCTGTCCGTCTGTCTGTTTCTACGCGAACTAGTCTCTCAGTTTTAAAGGTATCGAATTGAAACTTTGCACACACCCTTTGTTCTTTGCACCCAGTATATAAGTCGGAACGGCCGGGTCGGCTATAACTTTGGTGTTTTTAAAGTTGGGAAGTTGGGATTTTTTGGGGTTTTATATTTGGCCAGCCCGGATACCAATTTTCATAAGGATCGGACGACTATATCCTATAGCTGCCATATAACTGAACTATTTAAAATGCCATAACTTTGGTGTTTTTAAACTTAGGAAGTTGGGATTTTTTATGAGTATTAAGAATGCATCATATGAATAATTTTGGAGAATATAATTTACAGAATATTCTGCAAGTGTATATCAACTTCGGCTCCGCCCGAAGCTAGCTTTCCTTTCTTGTTATTTTTAGTCTCGGAATCAATTCTTTACTGAGCTCATTTAATTCATTATACCCGTTACTCGTAGAGTAAAAGGGTATATTGTATTCGTGCAAAAGTATGTAACAGGTAGAAGGAAGCGTTTCCGACCCTATAAAGTATATATATTCTTGTTCAGGATCACTAGCCGAGTCGATCTAGCCATGTCCGTCCGTCCGTCTGTCTGTCCGTCTGTCTGTCCGTCAGTCTGTCCGTCTGTCTGTCCGTCTGTCTGTCCGTCTGTCTGTCCGTGTCTGTCTGTCCGTCTGTCTGTCCGTCTGTCTGTCCGTCTGTCTGTCCGTCTGTCTGTCCGTCTGTCTGTCCGTATGAACGCTGAGATCTCGGAAACTATAAAAGCTAGAAGATTGGCATTTTGCATGTAGATTTTAGGAGTTCCTACGCAGCGCAAGTTTATTTCAAAATGGAGCCACGCCCCTCTGACGCCCACAAGCCACAAACTGTGGCCAAAGTTTTGATGCTATTAGGAAAATTTTAATTGATATGTATTTGTTATGTCACTACCTATCGATTGGCCAAATAAAAGTTTGCTACGCCCACTCTAACGCCCAAAAACCTATTAAACGCTTAAGCCTGGCTAGCGCCTACATTTCCGCCTTTCATGGCGCCATCTAACGGATGACTTTGGAACAGCTGGCCAAGGTGCTCAACAGAGTCAACGTTAATTCTCGATAAGGATTTCTATTAAAGGAAATTGCGATGGTTTTCATTTGTCAATACCGAACTATATCCCAAGAACTATGCAAATCAAATCAAGTTAGCCAAATTGGAGGTCTGAGGCAAACAATGGCGTATGTGTGTATGTATGTAAGCATATACATATGTATGTATTTACATTGTACACAGTTGCAATTGCATATTTATATTAAGTTGTTTAGCTGAGTAACGGGTATCTAATGGTCGAAGCACTCGACTATAGCGTTCTCTCTTGTTATAACCTAGCTTCAATGAATTATTCGGGTTTACTTTAGGAAGCGGTGTTAAAGATTCATTCAGACTGCCAAATCGAGCATACGATAATTTCAATGTTCCAATAGAGGTTATCTGATGGCCGATTACGCTCAGAAAAGGATTTCTTAGATTTAGTGATAAAAGTCCGATATTATCAATTGTAATTGTTGATAATTGATCATCACATACTGCTGATAACTCCATTGGTAATTTAATTGAAAATATCCATTGATTTTTTGTTCTTAATCTTTGCCATGAGAATGATTTCGTCGAACTTTTTGTTTGGCACAATGACGATGATTTGTTAATAAATATTTGAAACTCGCAATGATTTTCAATAGAAAACATGGATTGCTTATCTGAGCAAATATACTCTTCGTCATTAATTGAATTACAAAGATCAAATTCACTTGATTACATAGTAATGAATTGATCTCGATGTTGATTCACAGCCATGATTGAAAATTCAATATCAAGGGAAATCATTTTATTGTTGATGATTACCGGTATTGGAATCAAGTTATATATTTTAAATAACTGTGTTGATAATAATGGCAGTGTTAATTTAAAGATTACCTAATCCTTTACTACCTTTGCATCTGCCCTCATGTGAATTCAGTCAGATCGTCTTTGACTTTCAAAGTGAACGGTCGTGTTTTTTTTCTGCGCTTCGAATTTTGTATTTTGTTTTCGTTTATTCCCATCGGTGGGTTTTATAAAAACAACATTAAATTTTCTTTCGGTTATTTAAACATAAATTTAAACTCCGTTCGCTTCGCGAGTGCACTTTGTATTGATAATAATAAATTGTTTTAGTTTTTCGTAATTCTTATCTGTGTTTTCTATCCTATTTATATCCACGCTGTTTCTCTTTTGTGCATGCACTTTAACTTATTTACGCTCCCGCTCTCTTGCTCTCTTTGCTTTTGAAAGTTCTAAGCGTGCAGTTTCTGCGCTCTTGCGGTACTTATAACTGCTCGCTTATAAATTTCAATTTCGCTTTCTTGGTACAGTGGTAAATAAATAAAATGAATAATAAAAATTTAGTCTGCTTCTGCAAAAAATGCAGCCTCGTAATCAGGGCTGACCAGTCTAATATGGTGCATACCAAGTGCGCCGGTTTTACTGGCCGGACAAGTGATGACCTTTCAAAGGGGCCCAATTTGCAGTTTTGTTGTGACGCTTGTGTCGAGGTTGCGAACGAGATGAAATCGTTCATGCGCCAAACTAAAGGCGGCCTGATGGGGCTGATTAGCTGTTTCGGAGTGGCTAGAGATAGTTTTCGCCGAGCTGATGATCTCCTCTCTGCGCTGGACTCGCAGTTTAATAGTCGTAAGCTATTAGAAGAGTCCCCTAAGCGCAAAAAGGCCGCTGGTGGTAAGGAGCAAAAGGGGAACACCCCGCAACCGAAATCAAAAGATCAACAGAGCATTCCGGCGGATCAGCAGCTGATTTCAGCAAACCCTCAAATGTTGCTAAGATCAGCAGCTAAAAAAGATTCGGTATCCGAACAATCCGTTACAGAATGCATGCAACCAGGGACTTCTAAGAATTCCGATTTGTCCGTAGTGGTTTCACAATTAGTGGATTCACCTATCTCTCAGAATGTAGTATCACCACCACAAGGGACTACTGGTCCGGACAACGGCTCAAGTTGGTTTTGCAGAAACAATGTCTGCTCCACCAAAATCCCTTTTAGTGGTTCCACTAAAGAAACAAATTTTCGTTTCTCGGCTTTCCCCTGATCAAACATCTTCTGATGTATTGTCTTATATACAAGACAAAACTAAAGCCGATTGTAATAGTGTAAAGGTGGAAAAGTTTAAGTTTTCTTATGCTAGAGACATTTCATCTTTCAAGATAACTGTCCCTAACGAGCTTTTTGAAGCCATATGCTCGGGCGACTTTCGGCCGGATAATATGGTTGTAAAAGAGTTCGAGGCTAAGATAAAGAAGAAGGGGCCCGTAGGAGTAAAACTTCCTAGTCGAGGCCAAACCAGTGTACCAATTTCAAAAAACTAACTTCTAACCTCCATCTTTCCTATCAGAATGCAAGAGGTTTGCGTAGCAAACTCACTAAATTGTATTCTGATAGCCTTTCCTTTGCATCTCATATTATTGTGTTCACAGAAACCTGGTTAATCCGGAGATCTTTAGCTCCGAAGTTTTTCCAGGTAAGTACACAATATATAGGTATGACCGTCCCTCTAGACGGGGAGGTGGAGTCTTAATTGGAGTTGATTCAAACTTCCCGTCTGAGGAGTTATTTTTTGATGAATTCAATACCATTGAATTTAGTTGTG